GCCCCCCCCCCCCCCCCCCAGATAGTTAGCAACAAGAACATTAACCCCTAACACTCTGGCTAATTCTTAACAGTGGAGAACACTCAGTTCCCTGGTCACAGCTAAGGGGAACTGAGCACCGGCAGGAGGCCAGTCTTAGCAAGTGGTCTTGATCCATTTTTTGTGTGCAAATCTCTCTTTCCCCCGCTCCCCACACACACTGCAGGTTCCTGATACCCACCTCCCTCGGGCTGGGGCCCAGCACTGTGGAGGTGAGTTACATCTGGAGGGGTAAAACTGGGGTGGAGCCAGCGCGCTGGAGGTGGAGTTGGGGCCTGAGGCAGCATGCAGTTGTCAGCCTGCTGGGAAGGACATGGTACTAGGGTGGTGGGGCAGGTGCTGTAGATGGAGTTTAGGGTTATTTACTGAGGGGCTGGAATCACATGTAATTTGCGACAGTGAATAGTCAGTTACTATCCAGCACTGGCTGGATACCACATACTGGGGCATTCCTGACACTGGCGGATGTGAAAGGCTTAATACAGCTGGTTAAGTGGTAACTCTCTTTAGTAACTGTTAGCACCCTTTCAATTCTTTGCATGAAGCTTTTTGTGTGGGACATGTATTAATGCACGTATTTAAGAGTAATCCAAACATACCTCCCCGCCACACACACCTGGCTGAGTTAGCCTTGCCAGGAGCAGGGCCGGCTCCAGGCACCAGCTTGCCAAGCAGGTGCTTGGGGCGGCCACTCCGGAGGGGGGCAGCACATCCAGCTATTCGGCGGCAATTCGGCGGACGGTCCCTCACTCCCGCTCGGAGCAAAGGACCTCCCGCCGAATTGCCGCCGCAGATCGCGATCACGGCTTTTTTTTTTTTTTTTTTGGGTGCCGCTTGGGGCGGCAAAAAGCCTAGAGCCCTGACGCAGGAGGATCCTTAACTTTTGCATTGCCAGGAGGATCCTTAACTTTTGCATTGCCTGACTTTTGTCCACTGCATTTATGTTCTGTGGCGTTAAAGTTGAAATTACGTAGGTTTTGGTTGGGATTTTTGGGGGGAGAGGGGGACATGGATGGGGGACACTGGCTAATGCGTTAAACCCGCATATTACAGTATGTTTGCACAATGCCTCTGCCTTATCTAGCCCCCTGCCCCCCAGCAAACTGATCCAAATCCAATGGAAAGTCAGTTTACATTTTCATGCAGATTAAAGTCTCCTGGCATCTCCAGTCTTTTATGCTATGCTGCTCCCCCAGCTTGGAATCAGAATGTGAGCAGAATAGCAATTGGTACTAAGACACTTGGAGTTCAGAGACCTTAACTGTGTTTAGCAGAGTTTATCCCCGTCTCTCTGCTCATTCCAGGGGTTTGGTATCCTGGGTTAAAAGATCTGCTCTTGCTAAAATGCACACAGCTAGCCCCACCCCCAGCTATTCCTTGCAGCAGCTTTGTTGACTATACAGTACTTTGTTGGCTCCAGTTGATCGGATGGCTCCCTTGGTTGAACATTTCCCACTTTCTCATCTTGAATAAAGGGGCCTCACGTAGCAGAAAGCCAGAACAACAGGCTTCCCAGAGAGGGGGGAGAGCAGGCTGCCGAGGGATTGTAAAGCAGGGCCCAGGATACAATGCAATTCCATGGTTAGGGGTTTTGCCTGAGAATCTTCTCCTTGTCATAGAAATGTGCTCCAGAATCTTTCCCTACAACACAGGCTAGGTGAAACTCTGGTGCCATTATAGTCAGCGGCAAAACTTCCCCCGGCTTTAGTGGGGCCAGAATTTCACCCTATGTTTGTAGCCTTCATGCTTGCAAAGAAAACCTTGAAAACATGAACCAAGTGTAAACTGACATGGTGACGTCTGCCTGAGTCTGCCGGCAGCCTGAAACAACAGCTTAGAGGGGTTAACTGTCCCATTCACCTGTGTGTGTGCGTGTGCTGACTCTGAATCCTGAAGTGACAGTTTAAATGACAGCTGCTGTCCCAAACTGTCTCCTACCCCTCACCAAGGTGCCAAGATCCTCCAGCGCTCTCTATGACAACTTCTACAATGCAGCTTCATTGTGCGCTTTGCGAGCTGGTCATAAAAAGTGCTATATAAAAGGCAGGTATTTATTATCATTATTATTACGCCTTGTCAATACAGAGTCGGTGTCACATTGACAATGTAAAGTCTGGAGACAGCTTCAAATCAAGTAAATGTAATATCAAAATGAACAGCACAGTTGCTGCCGCACCGACTGCATGATTCGCTCTCAAATCGAGTTCATTCAAGTCCGTTTTTAGCTCAGCGAAACGGACACAGAATTTTCCGTCTGCCGTGCAATCCCCTAACTCTGACAGAGACTAAGTCCAGCTCGCCAAGCAGTACACGGAGCCTCCACTGTACGTGCTGCTCTGGAGTCTGGTCGCATGCTCTCTTGAGACTCCGCACAGTAAGTAACTTTGGAGGGATTCCTACCAATGAGAGCATGGGCCGTGCCTGCCTCAAGCCAACACGCACAGAAAACACCCAGCAGAGGGAATGCTAAAGTACCCATGCGGGCAGGTATCTGCTGCAGACTCCTTCAACCTAGGCCCAATTGCTGTAAAAGAAAACCTGAAATGGACCATGCCGAGTCTCGGCTGGGCCCTCGGCCATAGCTTACCGTCACCACTACATACAAGCACCAGATCATGGAGGTGAGATGGAACGCTACCAGCTGCCCTGATTCGTTGAACTTGCTGTGTTTGACCTTGGAGAGGTGGAGCCGCCTGTTGATTTTCTAGAGGAAAAATAATAAGAGGGCATAAGCCACAATGCTGGCAATTCACCCTCCTCACTCCCCAACACCAGCCACTCCCTCCTGCCCCTGAAGTGAAAGTTCACCTGCCACCATGTCAGCCCTAGAGAGACCCCCTCCACCCAGATCAAACCAACCAGCACAGAAAGGCCAGCCAGCATGCAGAGGCCAGTTGCGGCCACTAAGAGTCAACATAGAGGCCTGCGGCTCTTTAACAAGAGGCCCTCCAGGGATTTTACCTCAGAACCGAAGCAGAACTTACATCGAGGACGTAGTCCTGCAACACCATATGCAGGATGATTGCTATGAAGACGTAGAAGAGGATGGTGATCAAGTCCTTTAGCCCGTAGCGGTAGTGAACTAGCTCGCCGTCTGGGGAGAGACACGAACATCATCACTGCAACTGTTGGGGCGAGGCCAAGAGGCCATTGTTTTCTGACGTCAAAGAGGGGGGCAGGGGTTGGGTTTTAAAGGCACCCAGAGATGCAGTGGTTTTTTTAAAATAAGCTGGATACCAAGCCTGGAGGTCTCTGTTCATCTGGGCCCAGCATGGGCAGCGGCAGGGAAACCTCCCCCCATACTGACACGTAGCTGAGCTAGATACAGCTCCCTAGTGCCTTGCAGTCTTCAATGGATTTATCCTCCGAACACCCCTGGGAGGCAGGGCAGTGCTATTATCTCTCCGTTGTACACATGGGGAACTGAGGCACAAAGAGACCAAGTGACTACGGACACACAGGAAGTCTGTGGCATAGCCAGCACGTGAGCCCAAGTCTCCTGAGTCCCAGACTAGCAGCCTATCCATTGGGGGGGCTTCTTTTTGACAGAAGTCAAACTGAGGCCCTGTGAATGGCACCCTTGTTCCCATGGGACTAGAAACACACACGGCACGGTCTGGGGAGGACCCATTGAGTCGGCGTCTACTGGGGTCTATAAAGGCTCGTTGGGATCTGCCCCTCAATGAACCGATGTGCAAAGGGGGGGGGGGGCGCAAGGTGGAAGTTTCGCCTAGGGCGCAAAATATCCTTGCACCGGCCCTGCCCACTCCACCCCTTCCCCCAAGGCCCAACCCCTTCCCGGGCTCTTCCCCACCTCTTTCTGCCCACTCCTCGGAGCGCACCCTATCCTTGCTCCTCCCCCTCCCTCCCAGCAACTCGTGCACACCCTGGAACAGCTGGGAGGGAGGGGGAGGAGTTGATTGGTGGGGCCTCCGGCAGGCAGGAGTTGAGGGGGCAGGAGGGCAGCTTGGCTGCTGGTGGGTACTGAGCACCCACTAATTTTTTTCCGTGGGTGCTCCAACCCTGGAGGACCCATTGAGTCGGCGCCTATGACTATGGGGTCACGTCAACAGGAAGGACTAGGATTACGGCATGAATGGTAGCACTGAACTCCCTCAAAAGAGGAACTTGCTCATGTTGAGAAAAGCACAAAGATGCTTCTCGTTCAGTATTGGTTAATGCAACCTACATTTAGGGCCCCTGCCAAGCGAGGGTCCAATTGAACAGAGCACTGAAGCAAAGGGTTAAACTCACGGGTAGATGCTTGGCTGAACAGAGATGCACTTAAGCCCACACTAGGGGCTTAGCTTCGCTGGGGCCTGTGAGTGCCCTTTAAGACACACTTATAACTTGAATAGTGATAAGACTCTCGGTCAGCAGGGCACATGGGGAACCCCACGGGACTCCTCCGCAGGCTGATGTACCTTGCAGAATCGGGGTGTAAAAGGACCCAGGAGATTCCATGTTTGTCGCCTCTCCCTGACCCTCAACAAGACTACTCAGTTCACAAGTGAACGGGGCAGTTTCCCCTAACTGCCACCTCACCAAGCTCTGCCCGAGATCAGAGCTCGGGTCGGATTCTCTCTGACGCAGGCACTAGCAGCTATAATACAGAGCGTGCAGGCCACGTCTGCTGCCTGAATCAATGGAGTTACCACGGATTTACCCACTGGCGTGACTGAGAGCCCAACCTGCCCCTCCGGTAGGAATTCTGGTGATGAGCAAACCAGACAGGAACCCCGCTGACCCTCCCACAGCTGGGTCAGCACAGCACTTCATAAGCGGGATCAAGTTTAGGAACCAGGTTGTGACTCAAGTCTGCAGGCACAGCTTGAATACACGCAGGGAGCTGATCTGTTCAAACAGGTGGCACCATTTTTACTTTTCCCTTGTAAAGCCACTGGAACATGCAGGGGTTGTCTGTATGGGGAAATAGCCCAGGACAGCGAAGTGCGGAGTAGCCACTCAGCAAAACTCCCCGCATGGATGCACTTACTCCACTTCAGAGTGTCTTTGTCCAGTCTAGGTTAATCCACTTTGGAAGGGGATTAAACTAAACTGCAAAAAAGTGCTCAGCGGGGTACGTCTACACAGCAGCTGGAAGTGTCATTTCCAACTCAGGCAAACATATGCATGCTAGCGTCCATTGAGCTAATGCTCTACCAAGCAAACTAGCAGCATAGCCCTGGCTGCACGAACAGCGGCATGAGCTGGTGGGCACCCTTGTACAATCCCAGCCGAGATCATAGCTACGTACTTGGGCCACTACCTGTGCTGCTGCGGCGACACTGTGATTTTTGGTGCACTAGCTTGGTCAGAGCTAGTGTGTCTACCCGACCTGGAAATGATGCCTTCAGCTCCACGGTAGAGACACACCCTTGATGCGGAATAAAAACGTCCGTATGGGGGCTAGTGCACAATAGCCATTGCACTTTAAATTCACACCCCAGCTTCTTTCACAATAGCTTCTCCAGGTAGACGAGCCCTACGCTAAGCTGCCTTAACTCTCCTGTAGTAGCTTATGTGGAGCGTTTCCACCCTCTCTTAATAGCTGTGCAAGGATCCTTTAAGCAGGGGGCAGGGCTACTCAGGAAGAGCAGAAGGTTTAAAAAGCCAGCTCCTAAGCGAGCGGAGGAGCTAGCGAACAGCAGCAGCAGCCTAGGGCAGGTTTGTGAGGGAGTTGAGAAAGGCAGCATGAAAACCAGATACCCCTCACATTCTCTAACCTGAGGCCAATAAACAAGAAACCCCCCTAAACAGCCCTCCCACTTTTCTGCAGGCGTAAAAAGAATGCAGGCAGAAGTCCAGCAGCAAAGCAGAGACTATCCAGTTTATTGCACTGAATGCATGATTACCTGCCTTGAGGGCAGGTGGTGTATTTGTGCATTCGGTGCAAGGAGCTCCTGGCCTTCGGAGACCAAGTCCGGGCTCTGGAGAGCAGAGGGGCTGCACTGGAGGAGCTAAGCAAGACAGAGGGACATAGATGAGACTTTCTGGGACACAGTAAGAGCGGTCACACCTCCAGTAGGACAGCCCCTGGGCTGTTAAGGAGGAGGAAAGTCTCGGGGAAGGAGAACATCAAGCTGGAGTGGACGAAAACAATCCCATAGTGGTAACCCACCTTCCAAATGATGTCATGGTCTCCTCTCCCGCTGAGGATACCCCTCCAGGGGAGGGAACCCCAGTTATTAGGAAGAGATAGGTGAGAATAATGGGTGATTCAATCATTAGAAATATAGATAGTTGGGTTTGTGATGACCGGGAGAACTGCAGGGTGACTTGCCTGCAAAGGCTGCAGATTTCTCAAGCCATCTAGGCAGGCTTATGTGCAGTGCTCAGGAGGAGCTGGTGGTCGTGGTACATGTAGGTACCAATGACATTGGGAAAGGTAGGAGAGAAGTCCCAGAGCCCAAATTTAGGCTGCTAGGTAAGAGATTAAAGTCCAGGACCTCCATGGTATCATTTTCTGAAATCCTTCCAGTTCCACGCACAGGGCCAGTTAGACAGGCAGAACAGCAGGGTCTCAATGGATGGGTGACACAATGGTATAGGGAGAAGTGTTTTAGATTTATTAGTAACTGGGGAACCTTTTGAGAAAGGAGGAGCCTATGCAGGAAGGATGGACTCCACCTAAACCAAAATGGAACCAGACTGCTGGTATGTAAAGTTAAAAAAACTCGTAGAGCAGTTTTTAAACTCAGTGCTGGGGGAAAGTCGACAGGTGCGGAGGAGCACGTGATTCAGACAGAGACATCCCATGCAGGAGGCTCTATATTCGAGTAAAGAGGAGAAGACACAAGTTGATAAAGTACAGGTAGGAACTGAAGAGAAATAGTCAAATGAAAAGGAGTCCGAATCAATTACATCACATGAAGGCAGACAACTAAAAAGTGACAAATTTGTAAGTGCTTGTATACAAATGCTAGAAGTCTGAATACTAAGAAGGGTGAACTAGAGTGCCTGGTATTAAATGAGGATATTGATATAATGGGCATCACAGAACTTGGTGGAATGACAACCATCAAAGGGACATGGTAATACCAGGGAACAAAATATACAAGAACGGCAGAGTAGGTCATGCTGGTGGGGCAGTGGCACTATATGTGAAAGAAAGCATAGAGTCAAATATATTAAAAACCTTAAATGAATCAAACGGTACCATAGAATCTCTATGGACAGAAATTCCATGCTTGAATAATAAGAATATAGCAATAGGAATATACTACCAACCACCTGACCAGGATAGTGATTATCAAATGCTCAGGGAGAATAGACTGACTATAAAAATAGAAAACTCAGTAATAATGAGGGATTGCAACTATCCCCATATTGACTGGGAACATGTCACCTCAGGGCGGGATGCAGAGATAAAGTTTCTAGACACTATTAATGACTGCTTCTTGGAGCAGTTACTCCTGGTACCAACAAGAAAAGAGGCAATTCTTGATTTAGTCCTAAGTGGAACACAGGACCTGCTCCAAGAGGCGAATATAGCTGAACTGCTTGGTCAGAGTGACCATAATATAACATGTCTGAGGGGGTGAAAAATATCAAAGAATCCCACCATAGTAGCATTTAGCTTCAGAATGCAATGAATTCTTTGCATCAGTCTTCACTGCAGAGGTGGTTATAAGTCTGAGGAACTATCCCAGATTGAGTTGCCAATAAAGGAGGTTTTGGAACAAATTGATAAACTAAACAGTAATAAGTCCCCAGGACCAGACAATAGTCACCCAAGAGTTCTGAAGGAACTCAAATATGAAATTGCAGAACTACTAACTGTAACACGTAACTTATCACTTTAATCAGCCTCTGAACCAGATGACTGGAGGAGAGCTAATGTGACACCAATTTTTTTAAAAAGGCTCCAGAAGTAATCCTGAAAGGTACAGGCCGATAAGTCTAACATCAGAACCAGGCAAATTGATTGAAACTATAGTAAAGGACAGAATTATCCGACACAGAGATGAACTGGATTTGTCGAGGGAAGAGCCAACGCGGCTTTTGTAAATGGAAATCATGCCTCACCAATCTATTAGAATTCATTGAGGGGGGTCAACAAACATGTGGACAAGAGTGATCCAGTGGATATAG